GGGCCTGCCTCTAGGCCTTGGCGCCGGTTGCGCTGGCTTCATCGGTTTTTTTTAATAGAAAATATTTTTTTAAAAGACCTTCGGGGAATTAGACGTGATCCAAAAACAGCACGAAGGACAAGGACGAGCCCCGCAGTCGGACGACTTGGCCCTCCAGGTCTGTCAGCCGGAAGCGCAGGTGTCTCAGGGTGATGGGGCCCCTAACGGCCATGAAGCGCCCGTCATCGGAGCCGGTCTCCACGATGGTGCCCACGCCGCTCTTCAGCGTTATCTTGGACAGGATGTCGTCCCCCAGATTGCCCAGCACGCGGCTGGCGTTGGCCAGCTGGGGGCAGCGCAGGTAGACCTCGGTGTATGCCATCATCCTCACGAATTCAAAGACCTGCTGCCCGCCGGAGACGAAGCTCGGGCCGAGCATGTGGTCGATGCTGAAGGGCTTGGATGGTGATGCGACCGGCGAGGTGGGGTAGTCCACAACGTTAGGGAACTGCTGCTGCAGCTCCAGATCGTTCAGAATGAGCCGGTTGCCGTCGTAGGCTACGCTCAGGCTGTTCGTGGTTTCGCTATACGTGGCAGTAGCGAAGTTGGAGCTGATCCAGGCTGCCAGCCGGGAGCCCGTGTAGGCGCCTTCCGGGAGGAGCGCCCAATTCAGCGTGCCGAGCGCGGCGTCCACCCAGTAGAGGTAGCGACCGCGATCAGTCGAGAGGAAGCTGTCCGCGATTCTGATCTTATAGACAGCCAGCCTGGCGTCGCTCTGCAGGCGCAGGGACTCTCCCAGGTCTACCTCGAAGTCGCTGTCCGAGCCGGCTACCCTCTTGCGGCTGTCCACGTAGATCGTCGTCATTCTTTTCTTTAGGAAGCCACCTGTTCGGCGAACGATGGGTGGCTGGACTGCTGCGACGGAGGTGCAGCACTGAGCGCCTGAGGCGCAGGAGATGTTCTCGCACCTCGCATTGATGAGCGTAGAGCTAGCGAACAGCTTCTGGCCCAGGAAGCTGAGCGCCGCTCCCATCGGCTTCTCTTTCCAGCGCAAAACGCTCTTCGAAGCGCAAGTGGAACATTTGATTCTTTGGCTTGAGGTAGTAGACGAAGAGGAAGCTGTAGGGCTCCCGAGTCGCCTGCTCGTAGATCCTGTGCAGCTTGTCCTTCGGCAACAGGGCGCTCAGCTCTTCGATGACGGCCTCCAGCTCGTGCTGGTTGCGCAGCCTCCAGCAGCAGAGAAATTGCATGTTCACCCGCACGGCTGCGCTGATGAGCCTCAGCTTCTGGGAGCTCACCCAGGTGCTTATTTGCATGTGCCTGCCTCTGATGAAGAGCGTGCCCAGGGCGCCGTGGGCCTTGTGCAGCTGCGGGCTATCTGCGTAGTCGTCCAGGATAATCAGCACCTGGTAGAGTTTCTTCATCTCCAACTTCTTGGATGTCTCGGTGATCTTGCGCTGCCTCTGGATGATCCCCCGCAGCGCTGCCTCGTCCCACTCGTCGTAGTAGGCCTGTTCCCGCTCGGTATTAACCCCCAGGTCCTCCTCTATGTACTTCTTTACAGGGACCCAGCTGTCGTCGATATTGATGGAAGGGCTAAATATGTAGATTTTCTCGAAGACACCGCGGTATTGCTCCAGAATCATGCTGATCAGCGCCACGGTTTTGCCGGACTTGCTGGGGCCGAGGAAGATACCTGTGCATGGTACCAGGGGCACCACGGGGTCCGAGGGCTGCTTACTGCTATACTCAGCCGTAGGAAACAGCTTGATCTTCCCCATACGTCCTTTGCCTTACTTCCCAAATTCGACGCTGGGAAGCCGGGCAGTGAGACCGGGATAAATCTAAAGGCTGGCATGCGGCTGAAGTACATGGGAAACAAATCCAGGCTAGCTCCACACGTGGACCGGCTGCTGGGGGTCGGGGCAATCCTGTGTGTGGCGCAGGAATGGCTGGAGCAATCCTGTTGCCTGCGCAGGATTGAGGCTGCAATCCTGTGCCCAACGCAGGATTGCCAGGCCCGCACCAGGCCCGCACCAGGCCCGCACCAGGCCCGCACCAGGCCCGCACCAGGCAATTGGAAGCTTGGGCCAGAAATCCGACTTCGGTGTGGAGCCCGAGACCTTTTTAGGAACGGCTTTGAGACAAGCATATGACTACTGGCAGGATCAACCAGGATTTGCAAACCCATCGAAGCGGAGCTGGTTTCGCAAGCCTCTTGCGCACTTTTCGGCCCCAAAGAGAGCGGTGACGAAGCGGTGACAAGCGGTGACAAGCGGTGACAAGCGGTGACATGCTCGGCGGGCTGGAATTCGCCGCTTTTCCGGCCCGAAAGCGGAAAACTGAGCAAAGTGGTCGTCTGGAGCCCGCTTTCCACCGAAAACCTGCGAATTTGGAGGCTCGGGCATCCCACTTACAGTCCGACACGAAAAACGGACTCTTCGGACTCGACCGTTTTGAGCGTTTTTTTGCACCAAAAACGGAGCCGGATGGAGCGGTGACATCAGTGGTGACATCAGTGGTGACAAGCTCGGCGGGCTGACGGACAGCGGTGACAAAGCGGTGACAAGCGGTGACATGCTCGGCGGGCTGGAATTCGCCGCTTTTCCGGGCCGAAAGCGGAAAACTGACGTCTGGAGCCGGTTTTCGGCGGAAAACGAGCGAACTTGGAGGCTCGGGCATCCCACTTGCAGTCCGACCGAAAAACGGACTCTTCGGACTCGACCGTTTTGAGCGCTTTTTGCACCAAAAACCGGAGCCGGATGGAGCGGTGACATCAGTGGTGACATCAGTGGTGACAAGCTCGGCGGGCTGACGGACCACCTCGGCGGGCTGTCGGACTCCGAGCCTGGACCTCGGTGGGCTGTCGGGCCGCGAAAAACCCTGCGGAGAAGGAGCTCGGGACCTGGGCCCGATTTTGCGCTCTTTTGCACCCAAAAAGCGAGCGGTGACGAAGCGGTGACAAGCGGTGACAAGTTCAGCGGGCTGGAATTCGCAGGCTTTTCGGGGCAGAAAACGGAATTCGGAGCACGGCAAACATCTGGAGCCGGTTTTCGGCGGAAAACGAGCGAACTTGGTGGCTCGGGCTCCACTTTTGACGTCTGACACGAAAAAACGCACTTTTCGGAGTTCGCCGTTTTCAGCGCTTTTTGCACCAAAAACGGAGTGGTGACAAAGACTGGTGACATCGGAAAAACGTTCAGCTGGTTGAAGAATTTGGCTGTTTTGCAGGGTTTGGGGACCAAAAAACCAAAATAATTAGGTTACTATAAGCAGATGTTCCTTACTACTAGCAGCGTTGTTGCCGTGTTCACCGCCAGGTCAGTTACTTGAGCGTAGGGCGTCAGAGCGAGGGCCAGCTGTCCTGCTGTGACGTGCGTGCCGTCAGTCACCTCTCCGTTGTCCAGGACCACGCAGACCGAAAATGATCCACTCAGCACAAACCGTGCAGTTGACCTTTGAGTATCTGGCAATCGTGCCATCTTCACCTGGTAATGCGTTTGAGATAACGCGGCAAATCCGATGATATCTTGGGCCCGGTGGCCAGAACTTCTTTGCTGCATCGGATCAGAGCGGCTCGTAGACGTGCGGATTAGGCTTGAGGGATACTGACGGCGCCGTGGTTTGTCCCCCCCTTCTTCTTGGGTTTTCTCTTTTGGGGGCTGGTTGGGTTTCTTGTTTGTCCTGTGGCGCTGTCTTTTTCCGTGTGGATTCTTGGCTGACCTGCCACAATCCGGGGTTCGGTCTCACTTGATATGGCTCGGCTAACCTGCTACGGCGAGGGGTTTGAGCTGCGGCAAAGGCAAAAGAAGAAAAAAAAAGTGGAGCTGGCGAACAGCTTCTGGCCCAGGAAGCTGAGCGCCGCTCCCATCGGCGTCTTCTTCAAGTGCGAAGCGCTCTTCGAGCGTTTGTAGAACATTTCGTTCTTCGGCTTTAGGTAGTAGACGAAGAGGAAACTGTAAGGTTCCCGTGCAACATAACGACCCCTAGATATGCTTGCAAAATGCCCCGCAGCTGCGTTCTGCAAGGCGAGCTAAAAAAAACAGGGAAAAAAAGAAAGCCAGCCAGAAGCCAGCCAAACCAGCCAAACCAGCCAGAAGCCAGCCAGAAAGCCAGCCAGAGCCTGGACTTCTAAATCCCAGAGCCGCATTGTCATCCCTTCTAAATCCCAGAGCCTGGACTTCTGAGCAACGTCAAATAAAGAGGAGCAGAGGGTTGGGCCGGTCGGTTTTGGTTTTTCTTTTTTGCTGCTTGTCCCGTAATTGGCTTGAAGCAGTGAACAGGAGGATTCAAGCTTGCAGGATTGCAGGTCAGAAATCTGCACGCTTCGACGTTGGTTTGTTTTGAGTCTTGAGTTTGTTTAGGGTCAAGGTTGGACCAAAGTTACAACCTTGGAAAATGACATAGTTCTAAAGCACATCCGTGGAATTGGACACAGTTCCTGAGTTGCACCCTTGGAAATGATGGTATTCCAAAAACACATCCTTGGAAACTTGGTGCTTCACGCACAAAGAAGCACATGCACGTCGGTATATATAGATTTTTTTGTCTTGAAACATTTTACCCAGGCTGGTGCTTTTTCATGTTTTGCCGTTGGAATGGCAAAGTCGAATGTTTTGGGCAACAAAATATATTGTCCGAGGAGGCTGGCGCTTTTATGATACCATTTCAGGCAACGAAGGGTTTTCACCTTGTGTTCCGGAAGCAAGAACCACGCTGCTTGTGTTCAATTGTCTCATCATAAGGCAGCAGAAGGTGGTGACCTGGTTCCGTGCGCAGGGGAACCAAGGCTGACAAGTCAATCATACACAGGCACTAAGCTTGCCCCAGATCGGCCCTGTCCGTACATCCACGCTCTGCAATCTGAGGCCAAATGAACGTTTATATTTTATGCATATTTTCCAAATTCCAGAGTAACTGATGCCGCAAGAAGAGCCGAACGGCTCCCAAGATGTTAAAGGGCACTCTGCAGCCTGTCGCACATCAAGCCGTTTATCTTGTAAAATCCAGTCTTGAACGAC